GCAAGTTTTAAACTTATAGTTTAACCCTGATTAACTTGCTAATAAAGAGATAATTCAAACAGAACCTGTCTGCCACCATGATAGATGGTTAAAATCCCAAATAGCAACAATATAAACCCTGATCTAAATTCATCAATTATCCGATATAAACAACAATTAATTGGCATTGATCAATCTGGATAGAGTTAGAACTCAAAATTTAAGGCTGTGGGACGCAATGAACCACAGTTAGAACCATTAATTTTAACTGGTGAAAACGTGAAGCAGTAATAAATGTTCCTATAGGTGTGGCCGATCTACCAGTTAGATCTACTGCAAGATCTCATCCGAGGGGTAAATGAAGGAGCCTAACAAAAACTAAAACACTACAGGCCACACATGCCTCAGTTAGGGTCAGTGTTTGGTCAATAGTCGAGAAAAACAAAACAATGCTGGCAAAATAAACTCAAATGATATGAATAGGACTCATGCAGAAAATATTCTTTGGATTTCTAAGGAGTTTTATAACCTGATGTATGTAGAACCTCATGCTGACAGTGAAACGTGATGGTCAGTGACCACTTGGCTTCAGGGCATTTATGGTTAGCTGTGTTTAATTGAGCCATGATTTTTTTTCTCTTTACCAAAAACTCATAAATTAGAGAGTTTGTCCTCAAGTTTGTGACCTTAAAGGTATGGTGGAGGATTTTTTTCCTCCAGTTTACAAAAAAAAAAGAACCCTGTACCTGCTCCCGAGAGGGAACGACTATTAAACATGTGTTAGAGCATGCACAAGCCCATTCCTCCTCATACACTCGCTATTTAAAAGTTGCTATTTGCATCGCTCATACAAGCTTACTTTCCATTTGAAGATTTACCATTTTTCCACTATGTCAGACTCTGATAAGTGAAAATGTGACGAGCAGCACCTAAGATGTTCTTACGGAAACATATCACCAGAATAATTGACAATTAGAAGGACCACTTATTTGGATGATCCACCCAGAAAAAGAACATCATCAGCTTTACCTTTAAGTTTAAGCATGACCAGTAAGTCAGCTCTAAATGATTAAAACTATGTGTTATGACATCTTCATTCTATCTGTGTTATATTTTTCTAAAGTAATTCTCTATTTACTCTGGTTTTTACTTTCTTTATTTTACACAGAACTGTTGCTCATATAAAAGAGCTGTTGACTGTTCTTTACTCGATTCTTCAGCTGAAGCATGCTGACATTTTACATAAATGCTGGATAAATTATAGAGAAATTGAACAGTGTCAATATAGCTGCCGGGATAATGAGGCTAAATCCACTGAGTGGCCAAAAACTACACATGAATAGACTAGTGGAGGGGGAGAGTTGGAGATAAAATTTGGAGCTGAGATGGTGAAGAATTGTGGAATCGACTGAAAAAAATGGTTTAATAAGATGATTGAATGAATTTGCTAAATCAGAGAGAAAACTGGAGTCCACAATTAGAAGGAATAAAAAAGGCAGCTGGAGAAATAATAACTGGGATAAGGAGCAGAAATTAGGAAAGCTCAATAACAGTACAAAGACTTGGACATACAGGAGTATGTCTACTAATGAACTGTGAGCATTGTGGGCGGGACAAAACAACTAAACATGCTTTATGGAATAGCAGAAATATAAGCTTTGAAGAAGACTAATTAGGGCAGAATTTGACAAATGAACATATAAAGCAAATATACAAATCTTTACCGGTAATCAATATCTAAAAACATTTTTTTAAACAATCAGATTCCATTAAATTCTGAAATATTTGTGATGCCGTCCAATACAGGAAATGCTATATGTACAATCTATTTGCTCCATAAGCAAAGTAAGTTTAAACGGAAGCTGAGAGCGGTGGTACTCAACTTTTGTTTCCTCCTTTGCCTTCTCGAGATATCACTGTGTCATTATCGCAGTTAAACCCCTAATTGTTTTCTCGAGAAAACAAGATAATTATATTGTTATCACAAACAAGCAGTTATTAATTTCTTGACATACAGTAACAAGATGATTAACCTGTATGAGTAATGAATGAGGCTGGCCAACAGCCCTGGATTCCCAGTCCCTCCGTGCCTGCTGTACCCGTAGTTGTACAGTCGCGGTACCTTGTGTGTGTAAAAAGTCAGTTTTTGAGTTTCCTTTTTCTTTTCAGTCATTGTAAGGTCGTGGTGGATGATTGGATTGCATGGATTACAACAGAAAGAAATCTGACAGTTTTAATTAAAATCTTTAATCTGGAGTCATTTCTGGGCATTTTATACCTTTTACGGGTGTAACACCGGGGCTGCTCAAAAAACACCTGGCGACAGAACACCAGCGCTTGGGCGCCGGAGGCATAGGTCTAAATACTTATGAATCAGAAGTGGAAGCAAATCATCAAACCAACAACATCTTCTCATTACCTAAAGGTTAAACACAGGATCAGTTACAGAAATACACATAGGCTGCCATGACTTATACTTATAAATCCTCTCCCGCTGTTGTCGTATTGAAGGATAAAGGATGTAATCAGTTTTAACCCACACCAATCATCTCGTTATGAAGAGAAAATGTTTTTCTTTATCTTTAGATAATGAGAAAATTAACTCGTTTTCTCGAGAAAGTATTGATGGACACGACCGCTCACGCCTTTCATAAGTTTATGCTTTAGATACAACAGATATTTTATTAAAGACTGGAGGATAATACATACAGCTGGTAAAATTATACTAAACACAGTTCCTTGATTTTAGAAAGTTTTTCAAAACAATTTTATTAACAAAAAAGTTTTATTTTTGAACAACTCAATTCACCCATCATAGATCCAGCTCCTCTAGATCTTATTTTCTAGGCATCCAACAAATGCTTCTAATTCTTATGGTGCTTATTTATTAAGGTGGATATAAATAATATTAGCTTGTCTGATAAAACATCAAATAAAGATAATAAAAGGAGTTGTATTTAAAGCTACAGTGTGTAATTTTCAGCGACATCTAACGTCCAGACTGCAGACCGCAGCAACATGAAGATCTCCCCCCCACCACTTCTCCCCCCAACAGTACGGCGAGCGTTACGGGACAAAATGTCTTCCACGACGTCCGCATCAAGTGATGAGGTTTGTTTACATAGATAATTTTACAGACAGTATTTCATTAGTCTGTGTGTTCAGTACCGTCTCAGTTCATCTCTCTCAACTTGCCGTAGTTACTTTCGTGCGTAATGGGCGATCTCGCAATCGCTAGTTTATTGGCTCTGTGCTGCCGTAGCGCAAAGATGTCTGCCTCCATGGCTGCGAGACCCGCTCCTATGTAATTATAAATAACGAATTCTGAGGCAACGCAAATATTAAGGTTAAGAGGATGAGCTTGTAGATGATGATAAATAACATAGTTATGTATAATATCTTACATTTCTGACTGTATATCCCTGTAATTATTACACACTGTAGCTTTAAGGTAAAATAAGTATATTATTATCTCCAACAAACCAAAACCAAAGATCTGTCAAAGAAGCTCTGGGAGAAGATGCAGATCAGCCCAATGGTGGAAATTGGCTCCAGAACTCTTAGCAGCAATGGATGTGACATTGAATGTTTTAATTCAGAAATATGAAATGAACATTAATCACCCTTTGTGTGGAGCTTCATGTAAGAAAAGGCCTCAAAGCTTCAAGATGATAACATAAAATGTGACAGATCCGCTCACAGGAACAAAAGAGCTGCTATCTAATAATGGGAACCACAGTCAAAAGAACACCATTGGTCCAACAATAGATTCATATCAGCCCCCTACTATTGGAGAAACATGTACAGGCCTGTCTTCAGTGATCCACTGCTAAGAGTTGTCAGGATTTCGATTGCTCATGTGAGGACAACTTAATTCAAATGCCAAGTATGAGCCAAAAATCACCATCCCTGCAGTCAAGTGCACAGAGGAAACATTTTCAGGCTGTTTTTCTGCACAGGAAATTTGTCTGAGGAAAATTTATGCAAATTGAAGAACATTTCACTCACAGATAACATTTGGTTCCTCTCAACAAGTGAAATAATCTTCTGATAGAGCTCTGTTTTTAAGAGTAGAGTTTTCTCATTTTAGATTTAGAGTCAAATAAATTAAAAGTCACATATTTTAGCATCAAGCAAGAGTCTGGCTCTTTAAGCACCTAATCAGCGGAGCATAAATGGCCAGAGATGTCAAAACATGATGGAGAAAATCAAAATTCACTTTTGCGCAAGCGCCACCTTCTTTATTGATTGCTTTAAAAATCTGCTCCCACTATTGCTCAAATATATCAAACCCTTAAGTTAACCAAAAGCTGCTCATTTGGAGGTAAAGGCTTTTAACTCTTCAAAAATGACCTAAATATTTCAACTGTTTTAAATCCACGTAACATAAAATCCTGGACAAAAAACAGACTTTAAATGAGCAGCAACTTGCTGACAAATAAGACATGTCTCACTAATTGAGGAGAGCTTGGTTATTATTGATAAACCTGAAAATCTATTGATAAATCTTTGAATGACCTTTATAAATTAAAGAAGGCAGATGCTTTAGACTTTTTCAGCAAACTGTAACAAAGTTTGGCTGCTTTAAAACAAAATATAAAAAAGGAAAAGTAATAACTCTTTGCAAAAAAAGAATATAGTGTTGCTTTCATTGTTGCTCCAAAAATGAGACGCAACCAAAGTGCTCCATTTGAATTATTAAAAGCCTTTTCCAAAGTTTTAATTGGATTTTCTTCACAAAGCAGAAAGTGTTCCAAATCAATCTACTCTCCGAGGGTCGTTCTTCCATTCAGAGCAGCAGTGACTATATATATGGAAATAGATGTGGATTCTGAATTATTAAAACTTGTTTTTACATAAATGTTGAAGGCACAAAAGAAACGTCAAATGTTTTCTCTAAGAAAGATGTGAAAAGGTTTTCTGTGTGATTTAAAGTGACAAACGTTGGTTTAGCCTCTTTGTCTTTTTTTCTTTTGTTGTTGTTTTTTTTTTTTTTTTTTATGTTAATGACACGAACTCACTTGTTCGGCCGGTGATCCGGGATGGTCCGGTCCAGAGAGATCCTGTCGCTGAGGTAGGCATTGTAGCCGTACTTCTCCTTTAGGTATTTGGCATCGTTCTCCTCCAGTGGTGAAAGCGTAGCAGCGACGCCGCCTTTACCCCGACCCCCAAAGCCTTCAATCAGGCCCAGGGATTTGGACAGACCTGTTTGAAATAGACAAAGCAAAATTTCATGTCAGGAGCCTTTAGGTTGCTTGGGTTATTCTCCTCTGTTTAGGACCTACACACACACTAGGCCCCATCTAAACATATTAAATCTATAAACAGCTGGGTCTTTAAGACGCACTAGTAATGGAATACAAGAAATCTTTTGCCACATTCTTTTTAAGTTTAATGAAGGTTTTGCTTTAATTGCCCAAAAAAAAATTCCCAATGAACGGGAGCAAGATTTTAAAGTAAAAAATTAATAATAATTTGAGATTATTTGGGTTTTTATAAGTATTTATCGGTGAAGAGACACCAAAAGACTAATTTTCCAGGCAAACTGTCTACTTTCTGATAAAGAGGAACCTTTATTCTCTGCAGTCGACCCTGACCTCAAACCGTTTTACTCTTCAGGGATTAATTAGGTATTGTTGAGGATTCCTTAAGAAAAAAGCTATTTAAATCCATCCTGTTTATTGAAACTGATTTGAAATGTTTATCTTTATATTAGTATATACATGCTGGCAGTTTCTCACATTAATAATGTAGGAAATTATGATAACAAATGGTATATTCCTGTGGGTTTTTAGGAATAAAATATAAGTGCTCTCATTATTTCTCATCAGTATCTAAAGGGGGAATATTCTCAGGGAGCCTTAGTGCATATTGTACAGAAAGCATTAGCATTTTGTAATTATTAATATTCAGAATCACACTACTAACCTTTTACATCATTTAAATATATCATTTAGCAAAGGTGAGCGTGGAAAGGAACTGAGACGGAATAATCAGAGTATCATGAAATGATTACACAACAGTGATCTTTCTGGATGCATAGATTCCTATCAGAACCACCGGTGTGTTGAGGTAAAACCAGAACAGGCTCACAGCAAATTAAAAGATTAAAAAATCCAAAATAACAGCAGAGGAAAGCAACCTCGCAAATGACTCATAAGAAAGGAGATCCAACTTGTCTGTGGTTCCTATCAGGCTCTTTTCTTGCCTTGGGTTCTTTGGCTCAACTCAGGACTCGATAAAGCTGCCCTCTGACGGCATCCGGCTTAGATCAACAGGGAAACTTTAGAAAGCATGCCAAGTATATATATATATATATATACAGGGCCGTCACTAGGTTTGAGAGACATGGGTGGCTTAGCCCCTAGGTAAGAAATTTTTTCAGTGCACTTTCTAAGGCGCTGTCTATAAATTCATTATTTTAAGAGCAACATACCTGGGAAACACTTCCCTCACTAATGCTACTTCACCAACTAAACTACACCAGTTAAAATGTGCTAAATTACAAAGAGTAAATGGTAGGTGCCATGCATTACTGCATAAATGGAAGAAGGCAAGTGGTTTGCCACTCATCATAATGGAAACCTTCTACAGAAGACAGTTGTCTAACCAACAGACTCCCAACATCTTCATAAACCCTTAACCTGGCCATTCATCTTTCCCCATCTCCCCTGCACCCACAACCTGTCAGGAACCCCTGTCTGCTTTGCAATAACCCTGTTTCTGTGTGTGTGCTTGGTGTGTGTGTGTGACCTGGACTTTGGCATGTCTTTCTCTACACCTGGCACAGAGAGAAACACATATATGTGAGGAACTTAACAATAAATGCAGCATTATCTTTGATAGATTTCTGCTTAATCTAAAGTTTAACCACAAAATACAAGTTGCATAAATGGACAGTAGGCAATAGGCAATAGCATCATTGCAAAGAAGGATATCCTTGAGACTTTTTCACATCAGTCTGACAAAGTTTTAATGCAAATAAAGGAAGTATTTTTAAGTACAATGTATTAATGAAAACACAAAATCAACAGTATATGAAACGTACAACTTAGAACTATAGTCAACCCAAGGAAGCACTACCATATCACACAGTGTCGCCCTATCAGACTGGTGGCACATAGATATGGGAGAATTATCCTGCCATAATGCAAGAGCACATAACTTCAATTAGAGAAAAGAATTTCATCTTCTTGCACTCAAAACTTATAATGCTCACACTCAAAACATGCGCTCTCTCTCAAATATTTTCTCTTCTCTCAAAAATCTTTGTTTCTTCTCTCAGATTTAAACAGATATTTTCTATATTATCACAGATATTTTTTCCTCTCGCTTGCCTCCATCTCCGCTCTGCACGGGTCTCAGTTACGCTCTGCTTGCGGATTTGTTTTGCTCTCTCAGACTGCAGTTGGATCGTTGCCTAGCAACCTTTCCAGCCAATAGAACGACAGCCTCGGAAAAGGTGCGCTTGTTTAACCCTACGGAGTGTGCCTGTGCTACTACGCCACTTATAAAGCGTCAGCTGAAACTGCTATTTACAGTAGTTTTGTGGCTGATTGTTGTTTAGAAATAGAAAACCTGGTTTCATTTCTTAGTTTTGCCCTGGATTTTGTAGCGTTTGTGGACGCTACGTCGCTACTTGATCAAAACAATAACGTCGCTACAGGAAAGTTACTTGATAAATAAAGCAGCGACGCTACGGTCAAGCTACTTGAAAATGTAGTTAAACTAATAGCTTCGCTACATGTAGCGGCGCTACTGCCCATCACTGCTCCTGTGACAAAACTATTATAATGATGCTAGTAGGCTACAACAACATCGTGTTTTCCCACACCACTGACTTTGTTCACCATGGTAACGTAATTCCTACTGAATCAGACAAGCTATTAGGCCTATATTGTCTCTTTCCTCACTCCAGGTAAAGTGAAGAAAATGTAAACCGCTGACATCAAATGGCAAACTCACCGTATGTATCTGCACGCAACCATAACTTTCCTAATCAAGCTCGATGACTGTGTGGAGATTCAAAGGGCGCGCTGTTGCTGCACTGCACAGCTGCTATGGTCCAGTTGATGGCCGTGTACCACGTGACGTGACGCTGGACGCGGAGCCAATGAAGGAAATTAATATCCTAACGATATTAATAATTGTATAAATAATTGTGTTTGTAAATAAACTAACAGGAACTTATCTTCAGATTAACTTGCCTTCTTGGTGGCTCGTTTTCAGTGCTTTACTGCAATTGTTTGGGGTTATATGGAAAAAAAATCAATAAATAAAAAAATAACAATAAAAATCGCAAAATAATTATGGGGTGGCTAATACCAACGAAGGGATGACTTCAGCCACCCTAAAATAGGTCTAGCCACGTCCCTGCATATATATATATATATATATATATATATATATATATATATATATATATATATATATATATATATATATATATATATATATATATATATATATATATATATATATATATATATATATACAGTATATAAAAAAATGTTATACCAATTGTTTCAAAACCTTTTATTTGTGTTTCTTAGGCTGAGACAGTTCCACAAGCAAAAGCAAGAATATCTATTGTGGTTGAATTAGTTGTGTATTAGAAGACTCAACATGTATAACTACTTTCTTACATAAAAAACAAAGCAAAAGGCCTTTGTGTCAAAAGCAGAGACAAGATCATTTAATTCCTATTTAATTAAATTCTCAGGCATCTAAACAGTTTCTGTCATAAACTGTGCAGGTTCTGACATTCACCTCAAATAGTTAAGCTCAGTCTGAAGTCATTAAGAGGAAGGTTTCTACAGTGATCTGAATGTTTACTGAGAGCTTATCTGTGCAAAAAGACTCTTATCGGAGCTTTCATAACTCGCAAATGATTATTATTTTTGTAGCAATCAAATTACAGAGTGATGATTAATTTCTTAAAATGTCATGATCTAGGCGCTGATGAATTAACCTGACAACAGCCAGATGCATGTCTCGCTCCGCCCAGCTCCACTCACATACATCTGGGAACCCGCTCATTGAAAGTGATTTCCCCAACCGAATTTATGGTCTGTCCAATCAGGACGCAGGGTGGGTGTGTCCTGGAGTGGAGAAGCGACCGTGAGATTCCAACAACAATGGCGGCTCGCATTGAGGAAGCAAGCGTTAGCATTGATGTTGCTATTTCTTCTGTGTTGTCCAATCTATCTGATATTGTTTAATTAAAAGAACATCAGAGAACGGCTTTGAAGGCTTTTGTTGGTGGAAACGATGTTTTCGCCCTTCTCCCGACCGGATTTGGCAAGAGCTTGATCTACCAAATGGCTCCTCCTCTCACAGCGTCACGGGTTAGCTTCGGTGTGAGTGGTTGAAATAGCACGTCAATAAAGATGACAGACAAGTGGCTTATCCAATCATATGCAAGGAGTTTTGATAAGGCCCAGCCTTCAGTAAAGGCAATTCCTATGGCGGGTTCCCAGATGTATGTGAGCGGAGCTAGGCGGAGTGAGACATGCATCTGGCTGTTGTCAGGTTACTGATGAATGGCTTCATTGCTCATTGCATTCACCTGTCCAATTCTGCCCAGTTTTCTTATCACCGCTCATCTGATCCACCTGCACCTGCCTCTTTTTAAGCTGCTTGCTCCCATTCATCAGTGACAGATTATTCTTGAGCCTTTAGTGTGAGAGTTTTCTAGCGTTACTAATAAGGTTCTGATAGCCTGATGCTGACCCGTTTCTGTCTTCGGACCTTTCAGCCTGCCAGCCCCTGTTCTGATCTGTTTGCCTAACCTGGATTCTACTGTGGACTGAACCTGGATCTTTCTCTTGACTTCACCCTCTGGATTATTCTGACTTCCTTCATCATTTGTTTGGATCTGATCTCCTGTCAGTTTTGCGTCCTTCAAGGCTTCGGTGTATGAAACTCTCTGTGCATCTCCTCAGCTGACCTGCTGGTATCAACCTCTTCTCTGGGCACGGACTGAACTCCAAACCAGGTTAGTGACTCACACATTCTGATAATCCTTCGTCAGGTTTTCTTAGTCCCTAACTTGTGTTTCCCCCCTGCCAGAGTAACCTGCCTTGTACGGCATAGCCACTGTTGTTGCAGATCCACAAGCTGTTTTTCGTTGCTTTAATAAACGCTTTTTAAGTTATCCTACTGTCTGTCTTGCCTGAATACTCAGAGTCCCTCTGTTCAGAGTCATTACATAAACATTTATCTTATTTTTTTTGTCATACTGTAGGAAAAACAATAATTATTTTGTTATTTCACTTCTACAGTAACATCACGGTTGCTGCTGTAACATATACAAATAAATAGAGATATTCCGATACCATTTTTTCCCTCCTGATACATTCCGATGCCTGTGCTGTGAGTATAGGCCGATACAGATTACCGATACCAGTATGTTACAACTTATATGTATAAATATATAATCATACTATGCTTACATCCTGACTGTGATATGACTATTATTGTGGAAAGGTTACACCCTTAAAATTAAATGGAAACATGAAGGAATACAGCCAATTTAAGCATTTTTTAAAATAGAGCAGCATAAAAAAACACTACTAGTCGTAGCAAGGCCAGTCTCCGACAGGTGTCAGGTGATTAGCTCTCCTTCACAGCAGGTGGCAGCACAGCATTGTTTTAAGAGCATCGAAGAAGAACTGATGGAACTAAACCAGAAAATAGATTCCTGTTTTAGATCACATGGAATAAGATCAGTGCCTGGATTCCAATACCGGCTGTAACCTATGCCATCATGTTCTGCAGTATCAGAGACATTTCCGGTATTGGAATCAGAGCAACTCTAAAAATAAGTGTCAGTAAAATGGAAAGCCAGCTTGTATCAGTTCTGTTTTTACTTGGATAGAGATACAGAGGTGTAAATTGATCGGTCCTTTGCAGCAAAGTGGCAAAAAAGGTCTGTTGCAAGAAACTGTTGGTGCATGGACTAAATACATAGAAGGTCTCTTGTCTTTGTAGAAAGCTAATGTCACCATGTCGGTGGCACCATCAAGCAATGGGAATGTGTTGGAATAGAAAAGTCAGGTTGACTGAGTTGATAGGAAGATAGATGGGGTGTTATATCATCCCAAACAACAGCAAAATCTTCAATGGGATATTTCCAATCAAAGCATATTTATATGTTGAAATGGCCTAGTCAAAGCCCAGAGGTAAATCAAACACAGGATGCTTTCTGATGCTTTGCAATAAATCAAACTGAGTTGGAGCTGATTTGGAATGAAAATTGTGCAACACTACTGTATAGATGTGCAAAACTGGTAGATCTCATCAAAAATTTAGAAATGTAATTTTAGAAACAAATTAAAACCAAAGAAAATGGAAAACTGTGAATCATTTACCTTCATCCTAGAACTTTTCATTGCACTGAAATTTGTTTTTGTAATGTTTCCAAATCTAAAAGTTAAATTCGGAATGGATACATTTATAAGGCACTCAAAAATTAAATTAAACATTTTAGGGCAACAAGATTTGAGAGTTTTAATTTGTTAATATTCTATAAGGCTTTGTAATAAAACTAATTTTTAAAGATCAAGGTCAACTATCAACATTTTGATCCCGTTCTTTACCGTTTAGCTGCCTGTAAACCACATCCTCCAGCGAGCTGAGCCTCTTCAGCAGCACCTCGTGGCTCACGCTGGGCCCCTGCGCTGTCCCGTTGGCTCGGGGCCTCTTTCCGTCAGCCGGAGCCTCCGGACCAGCCGCCTGGACGCTGCGGGTGTTGCACTTGGCCCAGAAGGTCATGAACCCTGCGACCGCCAGAACGTTGAGAAGCAATAACACCCTCCATCTTCTGAAGACAAAAGCCATGAAAAGAGTTGGGTTCCCGGTGCTTTTTTTTTTTTTTTTTGTAATTTTGGGGCTGGGGTGTGGGGATGAGGGGGCGGTCAGGTGCTTTCAGGTCTTGCAATGTCCTGGAAGCTGCAGTGATATCTCACCGGGTCACATCAGCAGACCCAAACCATGAAATCCTGCAGAGGTGCTTGTGCTGAAAGAGTCACTGCACCTGTTTTCAGACATAAAGCGGATTCTTCTCCATCTGACTGGGGGGGGGGGGGGGGGGGGTTATTTTAGGTTGCATCCCTCTTTGGAAGACATTTGGAGCGCTTTGCCATCTGCTGCCATCCGCCACCTCTCTGTGTTAAAATCATCCGCTGAAGATGGAAAGACAAAGACAGCAGAGAGCAGATACCTGCTAAATAATTTAAGAGAAAGAATAAATTTCTTTTTTTTCTTTTCTTGCGACAGTGTTGCGTTAGAAGCGCACTTAAAGATCCTCACAGATTGTTCAGGGAAATCCTCCTGAAGGTTCAGCCAACGTTTCCTCCTTATTCTGCAGCTTTCTGCTCTCACACCGTCCTCCTCTTCCTCCTCTTCCTCTTCCAGCCGTTAATCCCAATTAGAGGCGATGAGAAGATGCGATGCTGAGGATCTATCTGCGCTCGGAGAGATGCAGCAGCATCAGCAGCATCCTCCTCTCAGATGTTCACTCCGGAAATCCGATGTTACACAAATGAACAGCGACCTTCTTTCTGCACATCCTTTCCAGGTCTTCTCGTGTATTTCTTGCCCTCTTCTGGTTTATTCCCCTCCCTGCCTCCTCCTTCTATCGCCGGAGTCGATCCGGGGACGTTTCCCTTGGCAGCAGGTCAGGGGTGGGGGAGGATGGGAGGAGTGTCTGTTCTCTGTCAGATCACACTGCGAGGAAATACTGCTCTCACTTCAAGTGGAGGTGACTGGGAGACTGGCTTTCATTTGTCAAAACTCAGATTTCTCACATCATCACAGATGTCATTATCAGAGCAGATGCAAAAAGCAATTAGTGAGGAATTTATTACAGGGGGAAATAGATTTAAACCTGGAAAATTGTCTCATTTCAATAGGGGCAGTTATTTAATTAGATGTGGAGGTACTTAAATATATCAATTTACAGTTTTTCTTGATTGTTTACACACAAATATTGGTACTTGAAACACAATGACCACAAAATGTAACTCATGCACCAACCCCCTGAACCAATTCTGCTAAACTACAAGCACAATTCCTGCTTTACACTCAAATTGCAGTTCTAAAACACACTTTTTCCAAAACTCTACACACAATTGTCATAAAGAAAATCTTTTGTTTTCACAAGGAACACACTGTTATTCAAAACTCTAAAGTTAATTTCCCTACTATGCACACTGACTCCTCACATGGGCAAACACCTAACACACATGTTTCCACTCAGCAATCAGAGCTTTAGCATAAAATGGCAACAGGTGAGCTCTTCTGTTTTGGAGCAATGGAGGCCAATGTTGTAAACAGAGGCAGAGCCAGAGGAGTGAGAGTAAGAGGAGGACGATGGGGAGGACGAGGACGAGGACGAGGACGAGGAAGGCCAAGGACAATCATGTCTGATGAGTTCCGAGCCACTTTGGTTGACCATGTCTACTCTCACTACAAAACTGCAGTACTGCATATCAATACAGTACTCAATGAGTACAGTAGTACAGTATTACCTGTGGACTGTTTTGTAGGACATTGTGTTTCGAGTATTTGGGAAATGTATTCCTACACAGTATTTACAGTATTGCACTCTTTGTATTGCAGAACTGAAAGATTACCAACAAGAGGTGGACGGGGCCGTCTTCTGTCTCCTGAACAGCAAACAGAGATCATGAACATGGTTCTTGAAAATAACGCCATTACCTTACGACAAATATAAAGAAAAACAATAGAAAACAATGAGATATTTCAAAATATTGATAGGGTAAGTTTATCAACGCTGGACCGTGTCTTGCACAGAAATAAACTGAGGATTAAGCAGGTCTACAGGGTGCCATTTGAGCGCAATTCAGAAAGAGTCAAAGAATTGCGATATAACTATGTGCAAGTACGTCCTATACATTCCCACCCTTGATGCATACTGTCAACATTGTATAAATCATACATATTTCTTTCTATTATATTGTAATCATAATGATTGTGCTTCACAATAGTGACCGCTCCATGTCTACTTCTGATATTGTCATGTGTGTTTCAGAGAGTCCTTGAGCTGGAGGTGGATGCAGTGGAGCACCAGTTCTTCTTCATTGATGAGGTTGGATTCAACCTCACAAAAAGACGAAGGAGGGGAAGGAATATAATCGGCCAGCGTGCCATTGTTGAAGTCCCTGGCCAGCACGGAGGGAACATCACAATGTGTGCAGCGATGACCCACCATGGCATCATCCATCACCATGCTACCCTTGGCCCCTACAACACTGCCCATCTGATCACATTCCTGGACACCCTACACAACACACTCATTCCACCAGATCAGATAGACGGCCCAGAGCAGCTCAGGTACGTTGTCATTTGGGACAACGTAAGCTTCCACCGGGCTGCTCTGGTTCACTGACCCCCCACGCTTTTCAGTTGTTTATCTCCCTCCATATTCTCCATTCCTCAATCCTATTGAGGAATTTTTTTCTGCCTGGAGATGGAAAGTGTACGACCTAAATTCAGAAACGCGTATACCCCTTTTCCAAGCTATGGAAGACGCATGTGGAGATATAGCAGTTGATGCTTTTCATGGCTGGATTCGCCATGCTAGGCAATATTTCCCCCGCTGCTTGGCCAGGGAAAACATTGCTTGTGATGTAGATGAGGTGCTATGGCCAGACCGAAACAGAAGAGAGGATGCAGCATAGTTTATTTTGTTTTGTTTTTTTTATTATTACTGTAACTGTATACAGTAAAATCTTCTGCACTGTATGTGCAACTTTGTGTCGGTTGGGATGTACACTGTGTACATTGTTTTGTGGCAAAAATAAAACATGTTTTTTACAGTATATTTGTGTGTTCTGAGTATAAAAACAATATTCTAAAGTATTTTACAACGCACTTATGTATTTAATGTCTGTAGTAACTGTAACACTGAACAAAAAGTCATTATGATGAATGGAGAATGGTGTTTTACACTGAGCACATCAGTGTTTAAATGCTTTTTTTAATTGTCTGTTCATATGATAGTTTGTGTGTGTCATCTGAACACAAAATGGCCTTTGGTGAAGAGATAAAACTGTTTTGAATGTAAAGTTTCATTTTGCAGGAGATTTGAAGGGTTTTGCCCATTGTGTGTGTGTTTGTTGGATTTGTGTGAAGAGTTCTGAGAATATGAGGCATGTTTTCAGAAATGTGTGTAAACAATCCAGAAAAACTGTAATTACTTCAATCTCTTTCTGTATCATTTATATTTCTATTTGTGGGGGTGTATTTATTTCTCTAACATGCCTGTTTAATTTTGACCCCTCCTCTTTAAAGAGTTTCCTAAAAAAAAAAAAAAATGTTAATCTACTTTGAGATTAAAAATTCTGAGATTAAACTTGGAATTTGGAGGAAAAAAGGCTGAATTCAGAGATTAGAGTCTGAATTCTGAGAAAAAAGTCAGGATTCTGAGATTAAAGTCAGAATTCTGTGAAAAAAAGGTAGAATTCTGAGATTAAAGTCAGGATTCTGAGATTAAAGTCAGAATTCTGTGAAAACAAAGTCAGAATTCAGAGATTCAGCTCAGGATTCTGAGAAAAAAAGTCAGAATTCTGAGATTAAAGTCAGGATTCTGAGATTAAAAGTCAGAATTCTATAAAAAAAAATAGGCAGAATTCTGAGATTAAAGTCAAGATTCTGAGATTAAAGTCAGAATTCTGTGGAAAAAAAAGTCAGAATTCTGAGATTCAACTCAGGATTCTGAGAAAAAAAGTCAGATTTCTGAGATTAAAGTCAAAATTCTGAGATTAAAGTCAGAATTCTGTGAAAAAAGTCAAAATTCTGAGATTCATCTCAGGATTCTGAGAAAAAAAGTCAGATTTCTGAGATTAAAGTCAAAGTTCTAAAAAAAAAAAAAGGTTAAAAAAAGTCAGAATTCTGAGACAGAATTCAGATTATTATTTAGTTTATTGTGTTTGTGTGTTTAATCATTTCCTTATGTTGATTTTCATACTGTATTTGAGTTCTAACTTGTTATTCCTGTTACAGGTAGGCCAGTGTCAGTCAAGGTCAGCGGGTTGATGCAGACGAATGAGTGTAAAGTGTTTAGAGGGAGGAGGAAGAGACAGATAAGGAGGGACAGGATGGGGATGGAAGAGGATGAGAAGGAGAAGAAGCAGGAACATTGAGCAGTAACCCTTCAAAAAAATGTTCCAGGTAGAGGTTCAGTGTGCAGAACTGGATTGGAAATATATCTTTGCATAGAAATGCATTATTTTGTTTACATATAAAGATTTTAGTAGCTTTTTGAAAACTAAAAAATGGTGGAAAGTTTCAGGGCCATCTTGTACTTCAGGACATAGCTTTGGCTGTTCTTATTAATTTGCTTTGCTTTTTTGAGGATACTGTAAGCTGTTTATCAAATTTAATAAGCTGAAAAAGTTCTTATTTCTCTCATTAAAATATATACTGATGTAGTTTTAATTGTTGAAAGAAAAAGCTTTTTGATCCTGCAAATAACGTGTTGATGTTATAGTCATGGTTCCACTTGTGGCTGTTGTGTGATCAAATTGAAGGTTTCTGTAATTTAAGCTGAACTTCAACCCAAGCCTGTCTCTGGTGGAAAAAGTAATATTTTAAATAATCGCTTCTCTTTTTACACAGAGATCAAATGTTATCCATTTTTTGAGAAAATAAAATCTTAATTTTAAGTTTATTTTATTCAGACAAATCTCCTGTGTTATTTTCTTCCTCCATATTGTAGAGTTTTCGGGTATTTCCTCTCAGTTTCTTCCCCCCCCTGGATTTCTCACTGAAGAACACAGTGAACTGTTTACATTCTGATAACTCAGCAGCATGTTTCAAGTCACAACTGACAACAACCATTTTTTCCCATTAATTATTGGTACAGAGAAAACCTATAGTTTGTATGCTGTGACCATGGTAAACAATCATGCCAATTAAAGTTTATTCTCATTTATGACTGTGATGAAGAGAGCTGGAGACATGATTGTGCATAAATGTCTAAGAACAGTTAAAACCTTTGCTGAACCTACACATAAATATGAATAAACGGATTACTGGAAGATGCTTTATCGACCACATACACTCAGTACTCGAATTGAGGGGAGATGGCATCCACCTTATTAAAAACATTGACATTTTATTTCATTTCAAAAAGTTTATTTCAAACCTGCACACTACATATAATGACAAACAAAACATATGCATGGTTTGAAAAGGGGATGGAAGAAGCAAAAGCTTATACATGTCCAATCCCCTCCCGTTCATCCCAGGGACACTCCCAAGACAAGACAAAGAAAAGACAAACAACACATCCACACTCATGCATACAAGACAACACACTGGCCCAATGCTCCCTATCCCTGCAACCCCCTCCCTACACCACACCACCCTCATAGAACATCACTCACTCTCTTCCAGGTATTTTCTCAGGACATCCCACTTAAATATCTTTTTGAAACAGTTATGTTTTCACAACACTTTTGTTCCTCCGCTAAACTATTCCAGAGGGTGACACCACAACTTGAGATGCACATTGATTTCAAGGTAGTTCTTACTTTTGGTTGGTATTGTTGGATGCAGGGAAAATAACTTTGCAAATAAATAGAAATTGACTCTGCACACGAAAGAGGTTCAAGCAGCCCCTGCAGGAGCGGAAGGAAAAGCCCAACCCAACCTCAAGCTTTCCTCCCCTGAATCCCCTCCTGCAGCCGTCTTTTATTGACAGAACATAGCACATGATTACAAAACCATTGATCAGTTCATAAAGACAAGATGCTCCATCAGAATGACAAGGCAAGATGGTCTCCTGACTGCATCACAAGACACAGTGCAGCAGGCATGATGGTTTCCTGACTGCAAAAATGTTTCATAAGCACACAATTTTATAATCATCATTGATTAAACCTGACAGGTATAATAAATTTTCGCCTCTAAGATTATAAGTGCGAAGTGCCTCCTGCTTCTGAAAGAGTTTTAAGACATTTTCTGGAATAGAGCCAGTTGACACTCTGAACATTATTTGCAGAGTTCTTAAGTTTACAAGATAGAATTTTTTTTAAATTGGAGTATTGTAGGAACAATAATTTTGTGGGATGTAAATAATTTACTTTATGAACGATTCGAATGGCTCTTTTTTGCAGTGTAACCAGGGGCTGAAGATTGGTCTTAAAATTGTTTCCCCAAACTTCGATACAATGATTTAAATACGACATGACAAGTGAGTGATACACAAGGAACAATGCATTTTGGTTGGTTAGGGTTAAAAGAAGTTCAATGTGGCTAAGACTGGCCAACAACAGGTGGAGGAGGAGGAACAATGCACAACTTAATGCTTAAGAGAAGCTGATCTTTCAATCCCTTTCTCTGGCATCTTATTTAAGTTTTACAAGTTTGATAAGCTGCTGCTTAGAATATTAATCATGTCAGCATAAATATGCTAATCTATGCTTCAACAAGATTTATATTTACAGCATAAACATCCCTATAAGGCTTACAGCTTTCTGGAAAGGTTTTGGATTGGTTTTGTATTTACAGCCCCCTTCACAGTTATGATACCACTGGAAAATGTCAAAAAGAAATCCACCATTTATTCCAGCAACATAATTCTAAACCAAAAAAAAAAATGTCAAAACATTTATTAAGTGTGGAAAAATTATACACATTTATGATATATTGTTTTAAACAAAAGGACATGGAGCGGTGTTCTTTTGACACTTCCTGGAGAAGCAACTGTCAAAAGAACACAGTCGCAGTTCAAGCCCAGAGGATTCCAGCATCATATGTTTAAGTTTGTGTTATGGTTCTTCCCTTTTGGGACTCTGAGTTTTTAGCTTTCAGTTATTAGTTATTCTGTTTTGTTGATCTACAGTACAATGCAGCAATTGAGTTAATCCCTTCCTGCTATCATCACATCCCCAGCTCCTGTACAGGAGAGCAGAGGACCTTGTCTATTCAAGCGGGGCCAACAATCTCCTTAATGACCCCCCTTTCAGACACTTAGACGAGTATGGGGCATTTCAGGCTAACAAAATAAGCCAAACGACCCCCATTCCAAAGGGGTGGACCCCTTAATCTGTATCAATTTGCATGTTTTCAAAACAAAAACAAGGCTTGGTTTCGCTACTGTATAAAACCTCGAACTCAACTCTATTCCTGATATTTTGAATTGAAACTTCCTGGATGGGAAGCGAAATGTCTTCAAACTTGGAAACAAAGTCCAGTGGATTGTTTTTAATTTTCTTCTTTGGAATGACTATGACCTAAATGACTGAGAACGTTCACCAGCAGTTCTTTGGTTTATTTTCCATTATATGCAAGCAGTCTTTAGTTACTCTCTGTTGCCCCTTTGTGCTTGTTTCCTTTCCTCTTGGCTTCCTTCTAGTTAGTTCCACTCATACATGCTCCTTATTCAGCTCATTAGTCCATCCTTTGTTCTGTTCCCCTTATATACTCCACCTCTGCAGTCACTCAGTGCTGGTTCCTTGTTATTGTTAGTTGCTTCCTCCGCTCTGGCTCCCCATGTGAGTTTTCCCTGATGTTTTTTGTTTTTTTGGTTCTTTGTATTTAGCTTTTTTTTTTTTTGGATGTCTATT